TTCTTCCATTTGGGCTTTGTTGCTTCTGAGCTTGATGGCCGCTTGATTACCTTCAAGCCTTTAAGACCCCAGATGCTATACTTTTTGATAGCCAGGCACCATCAACTTTCTTCGCCACATTTGCTTATGCACCCATTTGTCTTCAGTGATCAGTTCGACACCTCGTGATCACACGAGCTGATATGTTGTTCCAAGTCCACTAGAGCTAAAATATAACTTTGAGTCTATCCTACCTGACCTTCAAGGGTGGATTTGCTGCACTGAACACTAATGACAGAAAACCTGATGAGCTATGAGCTATGAGCTAAGGACATCAAGACCATCATTCATGAAGGAAAAGATCCTTAAAAAAACAGGAAAGAAAAGATCAAATGGATGTTAGAAGAGACTGAAACTTACTCTTCATAGTAGAGTAGTTGAAGCAAATGAAAGAAATAATGAAGTCAAAGAGCTGGATAGAAGAACATTGCATGGGACAGCTTGAGAAAATACAATAAAATACCATAATGAAATGTGCAAAGACCTAGAGTTAGAAAATCAACAGGGAAGCACGTGCTAAGCTTGTCAGAAACTAAAAGAACACAAGGAAAACTACAAGCTTCTATTTGAAATATTGAAGGACCCTATGGAAAAATATTGAACGATCTAGAAAGCATCCTAAGAAGATGGAAAGTACAGAATTAGTAGTGTACCAAAAAGAACTAGTTGACATTCCACCATTTCAGGAAGTAACATATGAGCAAGAAACAATGGTGTTGAAGGAAGAAGTTTAAGCTGCATTGAAACCACTAGTCAAAAACAAGGCTCAGAAATTGATATTTGAACTGAACTATTTCAATAAGCTGATGAAGCACTGGAAGCACTTACTATGTCAGGAAATTTCGAAGACAGTTACTTGGCCAAAAGATTGGAAGAGTTCATATTTGTACCCATTCCAAAGAAAGGTGACCCAACAAAATGCTCAAATTATAGAACAATATCATATGCAAGCAAAATTTTGTTTAAGATTATCCAACAACCATCGCAAAAGTACATTGATAAGGAGCTGATGATGATTCAGGCCAGATTCAGAAGAGGACGTGAAACAAAGGACATCACTGCTGATATCAGATGGATTGTGCCTCAAAGCAGAGAATACGAGGAAGATGGTTACTTGTGTTTTATTAACTATACAAAAACATTTAACTGCGTGGATCAATACAAACTATGGATAACCTTGAGAAGAATGGGAATTTCTGAGCACTTCTTTATGTTCATGTGGAACTTGTACACGGATCAAGAAGTGGTTATGAGACAGAACAAGGAAATACTACACCGTTGCTAATCAGGAAAGTGTTCTACAGTGTTGTATCCTCTCAACACACTTATTCAATTTGGATACCAAGCAAATCATCAGAGAAGTTGAAGAAAACTGTGGCATCAGAATTGGAGGAAGGCTTAATAGAAACCTACAGATGACACAATCTTGCTTAGTGAAAGTGAGGAATTGAAGCACTTGCTGGTGATAGACAAGGATTTCAGCCCTCAATATGATTTAAAACTCAATGTGAAAAATGTAAAGAAGATCAAAATCCTCAAAACTGGACCATGATAAATGGAGTATAGGTTTAAGTTTTCAAGGATTATGTCTGGTTTGAATCAATAGTTAATACTCATGGAAGCAGCAGTTAAAAGAAAGGTATGTTGTTTAGGTAAATCTGCTACATATACGACTCTTTAGAGCAGTGGTTTCCAACCTTCCTAATGCTTCGACCCTTTAATATAGTTCCTCATGTTGTGGTGATGCCCCACTACATAATTATTTTTGTTGCTACTTCATTACTGTAATTTTGTTACTGCTACTGTTACAGGTTGAGAACCACTGCTTTAGAGTATTGAAAAGCAAGGTTGTTGCTTTTAGGACTGAAGTGCGTCTGATCCAAGACATAGTATTCTCAATTGCCTCATATGCATGTGTATGTTGCACATCGAATAATTTGAATTGCAGTGCTGGAGAACAATATTAAAAATGCCATGGACTGCAAATCGATCTGTCTTACTAAGTATGGCCAGAAGTGCTCCCTGGAAGCAAGGATGGTTAGTGAGTCTTCATCTCAGATACTTTGGACATGTTGTCAAAAGAGACCAGTCCCTGGAGAAGGACAGCACACTTGGTAAAGTGAGGGGCAATGAAAAAGAAGGCTCTCAAGGAGATGAGGATTGACAGGGTGGCTTTAAGAGTGGGCTCCAGCATTGGAACAGTTGTGATGATGGTGCAACACAGGCAGTGTTTCTTTCTCTTATTTCTATTTTGCACATTAAAAATACAATTGGATAGAAATAAACATAAAATATTCAGCAACAATCTTAATTCTTAAAGCTCTTCTTGCTCTTTCTTTATAATGTACCAGAACCAACCCTATACTCACCACTACCACACTCTTGGATGCATCCAGGACATGGATTACAGGAGCACTGTATCTTGGAGCTATTTTAACTGCTGTGTGGGTTCTGGAAAGAGGGGAAGAAAAACATATCTATCAGTAATGATAGTTTCCACACAACCCTTGTTCAGAACTATTAGGGATTGTTCAGAACTATTAGTGATATTATGTTTCTACGGTGCTTTCTAGAGAAAGAGTCCATGTTACTTACAAATATTGAACTTCAAATTCTCCCTGTAAAACAAGAGTAACTTTCTCCTCTCCTTTTTAAAAATTCAGAGTTAAAGGGGAAAAGTAGACACCCACTGGCTCTGGTTACCAAAGATTCTGGGGCAAATGAAAAATACCTTTTCCACACCTTTATGACACCTGTGACCTTGTGGTCATTATTAATAGGGAAGTAACCTGTCTAAGGCAGGGGCACATTAGTGTCATAAAGGTCAAACTGAGCTGGCTTCTCCTTCTAAAGAACTGGGAAGACAGCCAGATATGCGGGGAGGTAGATGCTAACAGGCATCTCTCCTGAGGGAGATCAGTTGCCAAACTGCAGAGGGCCCCACATCCTGCTGCTGGGGACAATGGACAGGCTCCTGTAGGCGGAGTTTATACCCTACTGATAATGGTTCCTATGGAGACCCAGAGAACAGGTCAAAGTTAAGCTGCCATCCTAAATCTAGGATCCCCAATCTTGTCACATGTATACCCCAATCCCTCCTCTTCCTATTTCGTGTTAAGTATCTAGACCACCCCTTCTCATTACTGTATAACCTACAGTGCAACCCCTTCTTGTGACGTATGTCTTTACCTGTAATTAGTGGGCTTGCATCCCCCAAAGATATATAGGCCTGGGTCAGTAGTAGAGATCTCTCTCCTCCTCCCGCCCCCTCTTGCCTCTTCCCTCTCTCCTCTCCTGTCCTCTCTCCCTTGTTCCCTTTTCCAGTCCTCCTTCCCTTCCCCCTGTAAAGCCAAATTGCCCCCGTAACTGGCTCTGCCATCTCGGGCAGGCTGTGTTTTCATGTTTCCTAGCAGTGCAAAGCAGGACGTACCCAGAGACTGAGGCTAGCCAATCCGGGAACAGCAAGAAAAGCCCAGACGCCGAGGGGAGGACTAACTGGCCAGTGCGGGAACTACACACAAAGGACCAGACAGCCAACCTACCTCAACGAGTCAATCGGTGGACTAACAGGGGTGGGGACACTCCATTATGTACCTTGCAGATATATACTTAAGAATTTCTTTTGTTCGAGGCTCTAGCCCAAGATGGTGCTGGTTAAGCACCTGAGGGCTGGAGCCCTGGCTTAAGCCTGCATAATAAAAGGGGCCTCTCTGTATAGCAGCCTTGTGTTTGATCTCATTCCATTGAAAGGGGAATAGCTCCAGGTCCCTAACAAGCCAACCCAGGAGTGGCACAGGGAGCACAACCTCCAAGGGGAGGACAACATGGCCAGCGC